CTTTGAAAAAGCTAAGGATCTGTAGGGTGTTCAGATCATATAGTCTGCAGAAATTTAATTGGCATATTGTTGCTGTTTAACTTAAAATGCACAGCATAGCTACAGTATGGAAGATTAATAGAAATAACTGAAAAGTAGGCTGTCATCCTAGAAAAGACAGTTTTAAATTAAGAGAATTATCTCTAGAATACATATGTGTCTTAATCCTCACTACATCAATCCATTAATCATACTGGCTGGACCCCACGCACTTTGTATGTGTACCACACTGCTGCTTTAAATGCTGTTTATGTGGCTGAGTTGCTTTATTCCACCTTTATCAGTATAAGTTTAGTAATTAGGACCAACCAGGGAAGGAAGAAAACAAGTGAGGAAGATGAACTTTTTCTAGGAATCTTTTGATGAGCATTTCAAAGAGAACAGTAGCTAAAGTATTTGCTTTTTTTTTTTTTCCTGAAGGAAATGAAGTGGACACAAAGCCAAGAAAACAAATTTCTCTGGGAAGGAATCAGCTATATAGATAGTAAGTGCTCATAGTGTTTTCTTACCTCTTGCCTACTCTTCAAAACATTGTTTGCCAAAATAACAAAACACATTTGAACAGCTATAAACTTTCTTGGAGAATAAAAATGCTATGTGTAAAACAAAATGTATTCTAAAAATTCATTCTCTATCATATCTGTATTTTCAAAACTCACAGATTTTCTTCTGTCCCTTGAATATGGACAAATACCTCAGTCATATTAAGGTTTCTGTATAAATAGCTTTTCCATTATGAGAAACATCCTTTTTCCTTAGAATTACAATTTGTGGCTTATTCTATGGACCTTGTCTTCCAGTAAGTGTATCTTCTTTTCAGTTTACTGAGCAGCAGCAAGTTAGAAGGATTTCACTTACAAACTTAACTCAAAGTCAACTGGTCTGCAAGTATTACTCAGGAATATGTATAGAACTGATGATTTGGAAGATGAGCTCTTTGGATGTACACTTATTGAATGATTCAGAGTGATACATGAAGATTACTATGAGTAAATATTTTTAAAATTCCCAAAACTGTACACCAAATGAAGTTCATAAACAGTGTGTTCTCAGTTATGGAATTATAGTTTCTAATCCAAAGAAAAAGAAATTTTGCTGGCAGGAAACATTGTCAAAGGGCATAAACCATCAGAGGATCTGGAATTCAGATGTTACCTATTGTATAATAGTAAATACTGTTGATTCATGATAATTTAGAGCAAAAAGCTAATAAAGTAAGAGCATTTTGTTGAGATCTGACTTCAACAAAACAGCTCTAGCTTAAAAAGCATCCATTCCCTTCCTACCTTTAAAAAAGTACAACGTTGGAACAGACAAGACGAAAATAGCCAGGAATTTTCCAAAACAGTGGCTGCAGATATAACTTTCAGGCTTATTTGTCATCTCTACAAAAGCAGACTCCACGGATACTATCAATGAAACATTCTTTATGTTTCACTTTTAAGGGAAGCAGCAATGACTTGCCTCCTAGGAGATACACTCCAAAAGAGCAAATATCACCACAGCATTAATCTCACTTTCTTTCCTTCTGCATGTATGTCTCATTTTATCAGCTGAGCCTATGATTTAGATACAGGAATTGAAAAGTATTAGCTATCTGAACTGTAAAATCTATACTCAATATTACATTATCTCCTTTGTCTATGTGCAAAATTGCTAGTGTATCTAAATAGCATATGACATAAAATAAATGTTTGTACATGATAAGATTTGTTCAGGGTGGAGTTGTAAATGTGGAATGTGCTTGTTTTGTTAATTTGAAGCACAACACTAATACTATACATAATGAAAATAGTCGTTGATGGTTAGTCTTTGCCTGAGGGGTTCAGTGGGAGGAGTTCATGTCTTAAAAGTGTAAAAAAAAATTTACAAAAACCTGTATGGGTAAGAAATTTAAAAAGGAAACAAATGTAAAAAAGTACAGAAAAGACCGCTTTCACCACCTCACCATGAAAAAAGCAATAGTGATAAAAATATTTTAATTTAGCCACATAAAATTCAAAGTTCAAGAGCTAAACTTCCCGGAGAAGCATCTGTTGAGGGCACAGCAAGAGCAGGCTGCTGGCTCAGCCCTGGGGAGCAGTGCCTTGTATCAGCTCGGGGAGATCCCCTCCGGCGGACATGCAGAGCAGTATTGCCAGGTCCCAGCGGGAGCCGCGTTTAGCTCTCTTAAGACCTAATCTTGCAAACACTTATGCACGTGAGTAATTTCAGCTGCCACAAACTAAGTTATTCACCTGTTCAAAGTTTTTGCAAGGGTGGTGCAACATCCGGCCCACATTTGTAAATACTAGCCAACATGAAAATGGAAGAAACTTCCTCATCCAGGCAACTTAATTTTTGCTGTATTTTTATTTGTATTTTACTTGACTGGAAAAGATTACAGCTGCAAATATTTTTTTAATTCTCGAATCTTACAATTTCTTTAATAGATGAGTAATTGAAACCACCTCAAGCAACGGTAAAAATCATGCAGTTCAGGGGTTGCCTGTGACTTTAGACCTTTTAACATTTCAGAGTGATTTCTGCCATGAGGTAGGGTGCTTTTTAGACCAATGGTTTTGTCATACCTCTGAAATTGTGGATAAAGCCAAACGAAGCTGAGAGAAGACACCACTGATTGTCAGATCACTTATGTCCTCCTCCTTTTATGCATTTAATTTGTTTGTAGCTGATTTGTTCAATTTGTAAGTTCTGAGGAAACCTGAATCTTCTAACAGCTTTGTATTTAGCAAGTATGAGTATTATTCTGTTATCGTACGGATCACTGACCAATGTCTGGTGTTCATGATTTTCTAGTTGCATTGCTCCAGAACATGCAAGTTTATGACTTAGTATGTGATCTCCATGAGCTGGAAAGACTCAAAACATATGGCAGATCAGATGTTAGGCTTCGGGAAAATCAAAAATTAAACTGTCTCAGAGCAGTTGAGAGACTGCTTTGCTATATATTTTATGTGATTTGTGTGTGTGTTGAGGGAGATGTCACCTAGGGAAAGGAATCGAAGAAAAAATAGCTTTAAAAAATGAACTGTTTGTATTATGGCTTTAAACATTAAAGTCTGGTCAGCTAAAAGCAGATGTTGTGAACTAAGATGGAAACTTGCCTGAGGCCAGAATCGAAGAAGGCATTCTTTAATAGTAAGAAGGAAAAATGCTTTCTGGTTTCAGAATTTATTACAAGCAAAAAATGAATGCTTACTGTATGCTTATAAGCACAAACATTTCCCCGCTTTTATTCAGATTACTGAATAATGTTGGTGGCTTCGGAATTCAATTGCAGATAATGGGTTTATCAGAAATCCTAATTGTACTCTAACCTTTTTATCATAAAATCTTTTGTTATTCTGTGCTGGCCAAGATCCTGTCATGTTGGAAATACGAATGAAGTGCTTCTCACTTTTGGCTGTCTGCCCAGTAATTAGTTGGGGAGGTGGATTAAGGCATCTAAACATGTGGTGTAAATTTTGGGATATTATAATATGACACAATTCTGATGCAAGTATTTTAAGGTAAGAATTAATAAAGGAAAGACCTCATATATACTGAATTGTAAAAATGAATATAACCTTTCTTGCATGCTTTTAATTGACCTGGGCTTGTATGGCTAGAGCAAACACACATTATGTAAACATACAATGTCTAAGAATTTGAAATGGAAAGTTAAAGATTAATCAATATTTTCAAGAAAGAAAAAAAAGTTGATTAAATAAAAATTATTTATGTTAAAATCAATCAATATTTGAGAAAATCTTCTTTTCATCTATTTATGTATGAGGAAATACATATTTACAGTAGCTGTCTCTATAGTATTTGTTGAATGGCATGAAGCTTTGAACCAGCTTAAAATTTAGACTGAGACAGTTCTGCAATTTATTTAAAATTTACTAGTTCAAAAACTATTATCTAATGGCAAGTCCAGGATGATAAATTGCAATATTTCTGTGGGGGAAAATAAAAAGCAACTTACTGCTGCATTTTACAAATACTTTATGTGATATTGCTTAAATTTGTAGAATTTGAGGCATTTTGTTGCTCCAGTTCATCAGCAAGGAAAAAAATTCGCAAAAATCCACTATAAAGTATATTAACAATCAATATTTTCCATATATTTTTTCTTTCTGCAGGAATCATTTTGCTAACGGAGTCATATGGGTCAGGAATCAGCTGCCTTTTCTAGTTTATACCGGGGTCAAAGTGAGTAAGGACTTTCCAAGAGAGAGTAATTCCCATGTTTGGACAAGCTCTAAATCTTGCACCAGTGGTCTCTCCACATTCCTCTTTGACAATTTATATGGGGAATTTAGCCCCATCCCTTCCTATCGCTTCAGGATTTCCGAGTAGCGGGTCTGTCAGGTGCCGCGGCCGGGCCGCCCCTCAGAGAGAAGGCAGCTGGCGGGGAGCGGGCCTGCCGCCCTCCATTTCGCGCCGGCGGGAGCCCGCGGCCCCTGAGCGGGGAGGGAACAGGGAACGCCGGCGGGAGCTCTCAGCCCCTGAGCTGGAAGGGACGCCGGCCGACCCCCGCACACTGGGGAGGGAGGCGCGGGCGGCCATCGCCGCTTCCCACCGGCCCGGCTGAGGCGGTTTCTCCACGCGGCCCCACCGCGGCCGCCATTTTACACGGTGTTGGCGGCGGGAGGCGCTGTCGGTGAGGTGGGAACGGCGCTCGCAGGTTCTGCTTCCTCAGTGAAGGGAGAGGAAGCCTGACTCTGAGGGGCTAGCAGAGCCCGGGAAGGAGTGCAAGCGAGCTGGGGATGTCCTCTGAATCTTTGGGGCACCGGAACCAGGACTGGGAGTGCGCAGTCGCGGGTTGTTTGGGCCAGCGCTCCGGAAGGTTGCGAGCTTCACCTTGTGCCCCGGGAGAGAGCACTGAGGTGATCTGAGGAAAGGACTTGGCTTAGGAGGGTGAAAAGTAAAGGGGCTTCAAAAGTGAGCAAAACCCCTTGTGGCCTGTAGTGTTTGTAGTGAGGTGTTTCTTAAAGCAGATACATGAGAGGTCTTTGCTCACAGGATTTGGCAAACACCTTTTTGTAAATGTGAATCAATGGTCCGTGCTGCTCCTGCAAACACCTACTCCCTCATTCTGCCGCCTGGAATATGCCTTTTACCTGTGCAGTCAAACAGTACTGAGCATATGGAAAGGATCCTTTTATTTCTGTCCATTGTGGGGACATTTTGGGTTCCTCCCCACCATCACCACCACACCCCGGCCTTTTTTGTTTTGTTCTTTCTTCTTTTAAAAGTCCGAGAGACTTTTCATTATTGCTTGTCTGGAGATTTTGAGAGGGACGTCCCAGCTTACATCCTGTGAGCAGCTGGATGAATGCAGAGCTGCACAAAGGAGTGCATCTCTTTCAGATTTCCATAGTCTCATAGAATGACTCTCATAGAATCTTATTTTTATTTATATTATCAAGCAATTGGAATAAATGGAGCTGATCAAAGAATAAATGACATAGAGAGCAGGGGCCATAAAGCTCTGATCAAATACTGTGTATAACAAAGACTGTTCAAGGATGGGAATCATAAATCTGAACTACTTAAGTGGAAGTTGCATAATGATAGATTGGCGATTCCCCACCTGAGATAGGAAAGCCATTTCATACTGGTATGCAGTGTTCACAGCTCTGCTGATGGAGCAGTGGTTATTCAGTTGGATAAGCGCCAGCATGGATTATTACTACTTCAATAACAACACCTTGATAGTGTTCCTGATAGATGCTTTCTGCTGCCCCTACTGCTACCAAGCCTGAGAACTCCTGCTTTAGATTACTGGCATTAAAAGCACGCAAAAGCATGGTGGCAAAATTAACCACCTTTGTTAGATTTATCAGTGTGATTTCTAAATTTAATAATGTGAAGGGGAAAGTGGCAAAACCTGGCAGAGTGGGAGTTGCAGAAATTGGCAGAAGTGGTATTGCAAACTCACTCTGTGTAGAAGGGGCATTGACAGGTTTCTTGTTTGAAGTTCTTCACTGTGTTCACAGACAGTTTCGATTACATACTCTGTATTCTCCTGGTATTGTGAAATGTTTTCTGTTTTAAATTTGAAGCATCTCTTTGGAATATTTGAAGTTTTATAGATTTTGTAAAAGAAAAATATACTTTAAATTTTTGATTCACAGCTGATGGTACACAGTAATAAAGTAAACCTGAGTCCTAGTTGCAAAGCACTCTGAAAGATTCTTTTCATGTGTTACTGATGAGATGCTGGAGTAAAAGAAGTGTTGTCTTTGTATATCTCTCTAGGTAAAGTAGATAGCTTTGCTTTGTCACCTTATCTCCAGAGTTGGCCTTTATTGGACTTTATAAGCTTTCATTTAGTATTTTACCATTTGTTTTAGTGAATCTAAGATTTCTGAGTCAAAAAATCATCTCTCTAGTATTCTTTTAGTAAGATCTTTGCTTTTTAAACTTGTCCTCAAGCAGAATTAAGAGCTGTGAAACTTCTCAACATGAATGCATAAAGAAAATATGTCTAATGTCTACAGCTGGTGCTAAATGAAAAACATTTAAATTAGGTGGAGTATTTTTAAGACTAGTGTATATTATAAATAGTTTAAAAATAATCTCTGTTTCTGATGTTTCAGAACAAACCTGTTAACAACATTAAGGAGTTGGGTCTGTATTCCAGTTATCCAGGTAAGCAATTTGCATGTAGGTTTAAAAAAAATCTTGTTTTCTTGTAAATTAAAATGATTGTTGACTTTTTTAGGTAACAGTATAGTTTTATTTTGCAAAAGGTTGACAGACTGTAATCATAAGATGTATTTTTCCTTCAGAACAGAAACAATTTGAGAAAAAAGTATATAGTCTGCAGTTGTATAAAAGAATATTAGCATTTTTCCTAGAAATTAAATACTTTAATATAAACTTTATCTTGATCTTCACTCCTACCCACTTTTCTCCTACAGACACATTGTAGTAGTGTAAAGGTTGTTTAAAGTGCTGCCCTATGGAATTTTTTAGTCATAAGTAATAGGAACCATATTTTATCAGGACAGAGATTCTCTGTTTGAAGAAGAATTAAAGATGAAGGCAAAAGCTCTAAAAGAAAACAATTTAGAAAATATTGGCACTTAGAACTAATAAACTTCCTATTGCTTTATACAGGTTCAATTCTTGTAATTCCAGTTTTACAGTTGCTTGTGCTGCCCTTTGCAAATTAAGAGACTTCACATTTGATCTAAAAATGTTCAACTCTGCAGACATGGTCTTTCCACTGGAAAATTTATTTTATGAAAGACCAGATATAAGACAAAGGTAAAGCTTTATTGTTAGACATATATAACTGTTCTGCAAGATTTTCCACACTCTGAATCATTATACAGTAGTATTCTTGTGACTCACTTTTTTGTCTACTGATAGAAATGTGGGACTAGAAATTTCCAGATTCATGACCCATACTTTGAAATGTCTCCAAGCACATTGTATGATGCAGGTGTATCTTAGGACTACAACAAATAGAGGCTAGCAGAAGTTTTACCTCTTTAATTTTATGTGACTAAAAATCAAATGAATTGAAGAATAAGAATATTTTGTAGCAAGAGAAACAGTAGGTTATTTATAATTAGTGATTTTGAGCTAGATGTTGTGGAGGGTGCTTACAGAATGCTTTTACCTTACATTTGTGTGTTAAAAATAGGTATCGAGAAAATGAAGAGCCTAAGACTTGGTTTATTGCACCTGCTCCAGCTATTGCTGAAATTCCAGCTGCAGAGGAGTTACAGAGGGAACTGGAAAAAAAGTCAGCCAACACTCATATGGGTAAAATATCATAGAATATAATCGTGGAATCATTGGAAAGGTTGGAAAATACGTTTAAAGTGATCAAGTCCACCAATAAACATAACACTGCAAAGTCCAACTAAACCATAATATTTGACATTCATTTGAAATAACTTAACAAATAATATGTGACAGATATTTCCTCCTCTTTTGCTGTGAAATATGAACTATTCTAGGTATGCAGGTATAGACATAGAATGTATTTTAGTGGAGAATGATGGTGTTAGATGTATTTGGAGCATTAACAGTCCTCTTTAGGCATATACAGGCCACAGGTTTACTGTGCAGAAGTGAGCAAAGTCAGAAGTATAATCAAAATGTCAGTTACTCCACACTGTTTCACAAAGCACTGTAACACGGTGGGAAGGGCTGTAAGAGCACAATGTTAACACATGGATCTGATGACCTGTCTCTCACCCAAGGTACAGAGTTTATATAAAACTAACTTTTTTCTTCCCTTTTGGGGCTTTTATCAAATTGCTGTTCAGGAGGCGAAATTTTAATCTGGTCGTTAATTGCTGTGAAGTGGCATATTCCTCCCATCTAGACACTCGGAATCACCTTAAGGACATTTATTTTAAAGAATTTTGTTGCTTTCTCTCTGTCAACCAGATTTTTGCGTTTCTTAGCTGCTGTATTGATTTATGATATTCTCTATTTAAGAATTATTTTAAAACAGAAGGTGGTTTGTTTTATTTTCTACTTTAGGCACAAGCAATTCCATTAAGAGCTACTTATTCAAATAAGCCTTCTGGTGTTTGTAGAATTAGAACTGTTGTGGTTCTATCACAAACAGGGCATTATAATTTGAAATTTCCAAATGGATAACACTGAAATTAATAGACTGCAGAATAAAACTGTTTTGTTATCTTGTCGGGTTTAGTTGCTTATTTCTGCTCCTGCCTTTGCCTTCCCTTTGCCAACAGCAATGCTTGTTGATCTGGTCTGCCAGATCAGGACACCGATCCTACTGAGAACTAACCTTGCAAAATGTGATAATTAACCAAGAGGGCTGTGAGAGCAGCCTGTCACCAGCATTGGTACCAGTTCTGACTGTTGAGACTGCAGCGTTTATCTCACAGCTGTTTGTACCAGGAACTTCAAGCTTGGTCACTGTGTCACTTTTAAAGACCATCTTTATTCTGGGACAGGGTGAAGAGTTCTGTCCTACAAACTACTTTGTAGTTCTGAGGAACAGTTTTGCTCCTTTACTTTGTATAGGAAGCAAAGAAAGTCACCCTATTTTTATAACTTTTTAATTGACAACAAATACATTACATTCATTAGCATAAGTCAAAATATACACTAAAGTTCTTGCAATAAGATAGAAATATCAGTTCATATAACATATGTAAATTTGGCTGATACTGTTTGGAAAATATTTGATTAAATGATTATGAATAAGAATATGAATATTAACAGAAATATGAATTTATTGGTTTTGTAGGAGGGAGAAAGGACCAGATGTTTATACAACAATGTAACAGTAACACTGAAAAAGAAGACAAATCATCAGCACCTGTTCCTTTTGGTATAGCCTCTGAAAAAGAAGTGCTACAATTAAGTCTAGGAGAAAGAGAGAAAATTAGTTTTCAGCGTGAAAGTCTGAAAATAGTTTCATCATTTCTCTCCTCTGATGAAGATAAATCTAAAAGAGGAATAGAGTTTTCTCAGCAACCTGGTGCAAATTTTTCACAAAATGAAGTGTTAAGTAATTTTCTGGAAAACAGTGATGATGATGATGAGAGTGTCCATTCAGTGTTAAGAAAAAGGTACATGTCTAGTCAACTCTGATAACTTATCACTGTCAGAATGGTATTATTATTTTAGATTAATCTGTTTAACACAAAGTTTTGAATCCTTCAGTTGAAGGTACTCTTTTCCAGGGCTCCAGGCACTAATTTTCTTCAGTATAAGGAAAAAAAATGTTTCTTTTTGCCAATATTTTAGTACTTTAATTAAATGTGACCTGAGCTCAGCCTCTTTCAAGAGAAAAGTAAGCATGAGATTTGTTGCTTAAGTTTTAAAGAAATTGTTAGATAAAGATTTTACACTATACTACTCTGAGTTCTTTATCTGCATGGTAACAAGCAAGAAGGCAACAATCACTTGTTTTTCAGAACAGTGGTCAGCCAGTCAGCAATAAATTCCTCGAGCAGTTCTCAATGTGATTTCAGTGCTGCTTGGGAGGAGAGGTTTCCTCAGAACCTGTATGTCTCTATTGGTTTTAATATGCAGAAATTCAAAGTTAATCTGCTGTTGGGAGTCAGAGCCTAGCTGGACAGGCAGTTAATTCTTTCAAGTTCTTTCTGGAATGAAAATAAAGTTAAAATATATCTTGAAAGAGGTTTTTATGTCAGATTGAATAAAGTTAGATACAATTTTATTATTAGTGTATCTTACTAGTTCTGCTTCTAATACAAACACACATATTTTCCAAGTATTAGACTAACCGTGTAACATTACAACAAACTAATGAAAATTCTGGATCTTTTTCAGCTTATTTAAAAAGTCTGGTTATACATACAAAAATGCAGAATTTAAAGCTGGTTCTGTTGATGTGAAAGAAATTGATGCTTGCTTAAATACAAATGAAAACGTGAAAGAAGTGAGAAAAGAAAGTTTATGGAAAAATAATCATCATGCTCCAATAACTAAAGACTCAGATTTTACTTTGCATAGGGTAAATAATGAGGACACTGTGTCTGAAAATGGAATTAAATTTCAATCATTTTCTAATGCTTCAGAGATTCTGGATATGACAGGTAATTATTTTTACTCTATTTTAAGAAAAATTGTCCGTAGTCTGTCTTTGGTATATAACAATAGTGGATATCCAAGATCGGAGGTAGAGTGAAGAACATTTTCTCACCAGCTCAAGGTGAGATAATTGGCTGAAATTGGTAGAATGTATTGCAATTCTGTGGAACTTAATTGCATTGTTAATGTGAGCTGGCTCAACAATTTATGAAGAAGATTCACAGTTTCAGAAGTGCCAAGTCATGTAAACGTATTTGAAAATGTCACTTCACATCAGTCCTCTAAGCAATTTGGAAAAGAGCAGCCTCGTCCTTTCATGTGGTAAAGAGTCTCATCTTCATTTGAAACCAGATATTGAAAATGAAATGTTTGTGATGTAGCTCGTACTTGTATCTTTGTAGAAATAGATGTTAAATAGGAGATATCTAGAAAATTAGGGGAAGTGCTTAGAATTCTGATGAAATGATAAATTATTGTTTTAGAAATAATTTTTGTTTTTTAATAGTTTTTAGCTAAGTGTGGTTTATTTCTAGATTTCAAACTTTTTGGGACAGGGACTCACTGCGTCTGTGGAATGTACCTTGTGTACCTGGCTAACTGCTTCAGAAATATGGAATAGAAAATTACTTCTAGCAGAAAAATGCAGGGCAGAGCTGTGGCTTAGGATGGGATTTGGAGACAGGCCAGGAATGGAAAGTATGATTCCTGTTTGATAGCCTTATTGAGCAATGGTACTTAAATTTGTGGATGAGGGGAGAGCAGTGGATGTCATTCACTTTGCCTTCAGCAGGGGTGTTCATAGAATCATAGAGTGTTTGAGAAACACCATCTTCCACACCATTCCTGTGTCCAAGTTAGGGCAGTAGCAGTGAATTGACCACTGCATGTGTCTGAAAATGTTTGGCCAGGCTCAGAGGATGGTGGTTACTGGGTCACACTCTGCCCATGTGCCTGCCAGTGCATTACTGCAGGGGTCTCTCCTGGAGATCTCATGAAAACCAGCAGGAACAAATGCACAGTCCTGCTGCAGGGAAAGAGAATAACCCCTAAGGTTCCCCTGGGATGGTTTGACTGGAGGCAGCTCTGTGGAAAAGTGCCTGGGGTCTGGTGAACAACTTGCTGAACATGAACGATCAGTGTGCCCCAGCACTGACAAAGGCCAGCAGCATCCTGGGCTTCGTTAGTGGGAACAAAGCCAGAAGGTTAAGGGAAATAATTATCCCCTTCTACATGCTACACTACATGCTGCATGAAGTCTTGGGTCTCTGGTACATGCAAGACATCCTTAAACTGGAGTGAGTTCAGCACACTCCAGTGTGATGGTCCTTTCATTTGAAAGGATCTCCCTGTCCTATCCTGTCAGCTCCTTCTATATCACCTAGACCTTGTTGTAACCTTGGAACTCCTCGCAGAACACATAACTTGAGGTCAGGAAAATATTTTTCATGGTTATTGGTTGAAAAAAGATCTGATTTTATAAATTTACTATTTCTATTTCTTTAGGAACTACAGAAAGAAAATTGGACATTTTGAGGGCTGTTACAGAAATACGTATCCTTGTATTTGCTCTTCTGTTTTACTGATTTTATTACAATGCTGTTACATTTACAAAACTGTAGTGTTTAATTTGTAGCCATTGGGTATTCGTGTATTACATTGTAATAGTTTTGATTTGTAACATGATGCTGGGAATCAAATGGTAAATAGGTACTTCGGACTTAAAAATATAGAATGAAAATAAGGCAACTTACAGATCATTCATTCCTAAGAAAACTTATTAAAATTTAATCCTCAAAACTTTATTTTTAAAATGTAAAATTTTAATTTGCATAATATATATTTCACGCAAGATTTTATATGCAAACATGCATATACATAGATATCCCCATACACTTTAAATAAAGGAAAAGTGAATTATTATTTAGGAAATAAATATTAGGAAAACTGAATCTTACTTTCTATTCCGTTTTCTCAGGAGAAAATTAACTTCATGTATTCTTTGTTGGTCTGTACTTATGTTGTAGTGTGCCTATGGTATATTTCCATTCTTTATGGAGATTTTACCATAATTTTCCTCCTTCTTGGCCCTGTCTTGAACACATAACATGATTGACCATTCATCTCTATCTGTCAAACTTTTTTTTTTTTTATGCTTTCTTTTCAATATTTTGTTTCTACTAACCTGTGAAGTGGTAGGTTAAATATCAGGATTAGGAAGTGTCTAAATTTAGGCATCTTAAATTCATGTTAGTAGCTTTAAAAAGTGTCCTAATTTTGAAAATGGGTAAGGACTCAGTTGTTCTGAATTGGCCAATCACAGGTCATTAGTGCTCTACGTTTTGAAAGTAGTTCCCTTATTTAAAGAGAAAATTTAGATAATTTTTTTTAAAAATCCCCATTTTCTCTACTCTGATGTTACTTGCTTAACTTTACTCCTTTTAATGTTTAACTACTTTTATTTCTTGCTTTACTGCTTTAGCTTTTCCTCTTTCTTTAGTTATTTAATGTAACATCAACCTGAGGCTCAGCAGTTCACAGTTCTTGTTACTGTTGGTGTCATGTCTGGCTGTGTGTGCATCCTCAGCCTGGCGAGATGGTCACAGTTGGTGTGCAAGTCCAGACAAGGATCAACTCACTCATGTGGATTTGTAACCTAACAATATTCTTTTCATCTTATGCATGTTTTAGATAAGAATGTTGTTGTCTGAAGAACACACGTTATTAGCGACTGAAAAGTATCTTTAAAACCACAGTACTAAGTGATCATACATGAATTTCTTTGCTACTGTTATGACTGAACATTATGCTAGAATATTATGCTAATTAGTGTTATATTATAAATATCATGTGGCCATTGGCACCTTAAATAGGCTAAGAGCAGTGTTCTGCTTGCTCTTGTATCTGGTTTGTCCCTTGCAGTTTCCCATTCCATAATAGTATGCTGTTCCACGAAGCCTGTGCCAGGGAGGAAGTTCTTGAGTATTGATATAATCCTGAGGCCTCTCAAATAGGTCATGTTTTTTAAACTGAAGTGGAATATATGTCACACCAAGAATCTAAAAGAAGACTACTGAATCATTTAATAGGTTACTTTTAGATAACTTTTTACAAGCCTATGAAATACTGCTGTATATGTTTTAAGTTTTCATTTAAATTACAAGAAAGAGACGTATTTACAGTTCTAAAATAAATTTTATAATTTTCACTCAAATGTTTTAAATTCCTTAATGCTGTCAAGCAACCCAATTTAGAAGTATTTTTAAGGAGTTCCCATATTTTAACTATGCACAGTCTAAAGCTTTGGATGATGTAAGTATAGAAGAGTAACTGTGTCTGCAAGTAGTACTTTGTAGATAAATATAAGTGATAATTTGATATTCAGAACATAAAAAGGATTGGAAAACTAATATATCTAGAACCTCTTCCTGGAATGGTTGATCAGGGCTGTGCTTAACTGGGAGAAGAGATGAGAAGAACTTTTAAATTTTTTTTTCTCAGCATAAAATACATTTGTGTGAAGATGTGGATTATATTTATATTTATTTATACAGATTAGTAATATTTTGTTAATGATTTTCGGAGGAAGATTAAGAAAAGCAGAACTTGAGAGAAGGTTGTCCTTTTGGAGAAGGGCCGTTTGTCCATGCCCCTCTTATCAGTTATGCTCTTTCTTTAAAACCTAAAACTTATTTGAAAGTAAAGCTGAGAAAGCTGAGAAAGCTTTTATTATAGCTGTTGCAAAGAGAACATATCAGAGTTCCATCAGTCTTCAACAGAGCATTTGGAATTTTTATTCAACTGTAGGAAAATCCCAGTGTCATTCACAAATGTTTCTAAGCATGTTTCTAAGTTACTTTTGCTGTTGCAAATGTTTTATTTGAATTTTGTATTCACCAGGTAATGTTTTATAAAGAGAGGGATTTTAAGAATGATGCTTACGTGAGCAGAATGATCTTGTATTTAAATGATATGGGGAACTGTATTTTCCCCATTTTGCCTTAAATTTTTAGTATTATGCATAGATTTGGAATATTTTTCCTTAGTTCCAAATTTGTGTTTATTTTATGATGAGAATTACAATTGACCTATAAAATAATTTTCTGTGGCTCTTTGTTCTTAGAATAAAGGGAAGCCACAGCTGTAAGCAAGATTTACTTTCATCAAAGTTGCAAAAAAGTTATTGGGGCAATAGTTTTGGGTTGTTTTTTTTTTTTTTTTTGGTACAGCTCATGTATTAGTACTCCTAAATACAAAATTTTTTAAAAGTACCAGTAAGGACGAAGTTTGTTTAGCGGTTGTGTGTATGACATGGCATTGTTAAAAAAAGTCAAGAAGTTGGCATTTTAAAAAGATAATGAGTGTGCGTATTTTTTAAAATCGGTTAAGGTTGAAAAATTCAACTTGGTAGCAGCTCTGGTTCCAAGAAGTTGCAAGCACTCAACTTGGTAGAATTTCTCTGATTGATTCACAATGAATGTTACAAAGGATTACTTAATAAAAATCAGGGTAAATTTTGTATTCATACAGCATTCATACTTCATTGATTTTTTTTTTTGAGCATTGGAGAACTGACAATGGTAAATGAAGAACACAGGTAATTCCTTCAACTGTTCAGCAGTACTGTCAGTGTCAGTCATTGCTACAGTTATATATAAATTGATTGCTGGGTGATTCCTGTTTGTCCATGTGAGCTCCTAGCAATCATAGAATACCTTTAGAGCATTAACAGCTAGAAGGAAAGGAAAAAAGAGTGAGAATAGTAGAATGCATGAGTTGGGAGGGAAGGAAGGAAGCCAGGAAGGCTGCACAGAAAATGCTACAGGGAGGAAGGGTGGCTGAATGAGTGAGTGACACTGTGGAGAAGGAAGGAAGGTAGAATCGACCTTATCAGAGGAAAATGAAGGAACCTGACATGGACATACCTGGCTTCTAAGATGGTAGAGGATAGAATGTGTGAGAAGCACAGTCATACAAAATTTTGATTTGTGATTATTGAAAACTAAACATTCTGTTTAAATTATATATATTCCAATGTTGAAATTCTGAATGCAGGTCAAATTACAGAAGGGAAACAAATAGTATTTTGAATTTGAGCACAGAATACTTCTTTCTGATGAGCCCACGTTTGATTGCAAGTGGACATTGGCAGTGATTCTGTATTAATGCCATCTAATGCTACATAGCGGGGGGTTTGTTTGTCACAGTGGCAGACTTTATTACATAAAAGCTTAGGTGAACAGTATCTCATTTAAATTTCTGTGGCAGATGTGTAGCAAATGATGTTTCTTTTGCTGTAACTTCTCATCGAACACAAAAATTTTTAGAAGGCTACATATATCCACGTAATAATAATTTCCTTGTGTCATTTTCCCCTAGACAATGCTTTTGGGATGTATGAATAGATACTGTGGATAGCTGTGTTATATTTACTACTTTGCAATTCTTTCCCAGCTTTTATATACAGATAAGAACTTTGTGATTTGTGCTCCGACTGGCTCTGGAAAAACTGTAATGTTCGAGCTAGCTATTACCAGATTACTCATGGAAGCCCCACTGCCTTGGTTAAATATTAAAGTTGTTTACAGTAAGTTTTATGCAGCTTTAAACATTTTGGTGACAGCAGTAGAAACTGTCATTCTGTCAATGTAGAGATCTGGAGTGAATGCATTAAAAATATTGAAATTAAATATGTTAAGAATTTGTGACCTACCTGATTCTTTAAAAAGTTGTTTCCTTTTAGTGTTTATTTGTGATACCATTGAAACTATTACTAGTATTTAATAGCATTGTGTAATTGTAGTGTTCAGCATTGCCTATACAAATAAAAATTAGAAAATCTTGTAAGCAGTTTGTCCTCCAAGAGGGCAAGATATACACAAGAAGGGAAGAAGGAAGCAAAGGAAACTAAACCAAATTCTTAGTGCATGATTTCTGTCTCTGCCAGTATCTTTTGTCTGTTGCTCTGAAATGAGGATCAAATTTTCCAGTATTTGCTTACCAGATGAGGTTTCCTGCTAACTGCTAGTTTTTGTATAGTAGCTCAGAGGCAACAGAACTGTGGTCTTCATGACTTTAATTAATCTGTATACGAACTGATGAAAATTCTGGGAGATAGGCGCAACAATTAAACCTTTTTTCTTTCCTTCCGGGAGAACTGAGTTTGTATCATGTAAATTGGTTTTAATTGGTGGGTTTATCCCAGTTTTAATTAATTCATACAGTGATATGTTTGTCAGTCTTGCTATTAAAGATTTCATCTTTTCATTTACAAAAGTTTCATCCTTTTTTTCTCTAATTGCATTGTGTTCAACTTCTCACATTAAAGCAACACTAGCTTTAGAGTTTACTGTGTATTGTAAACTGATCTTTATAAACAGGCATGTTCCAGCTTTTCTGTCAGCAGGTGGAGGTTGAACCTATCGGTGTAGGGTGATAGGTTCTAATTGCCTTGGTAGAATTGATAGATGTTGGCTGGTTGGAACTTTTGGTAAGGAAGCAGTTACCTGCTAGTGGAATTAGACCTGCTGACCTTTCCAGGTTTGACAATGATGGAGAAGGAGATGTGTCCGTTTTCTGACTGTTGGAACGGAGGTGGCAATGAGATTCTGTACTACTGGAGTGAGCACTGGTGCCTGGTTCCTCAGGGGCCCCATGTATGTGAATTGGCTTGCAGTAGTACTGTCAGTTAGAGTTGTTTCACAGTAGCTTTAACATGGGAAGGATTGGTGACCAAAGTTCCAGAAGCAATCACTAGCTTCTCGCATTCTTGCATTGCAAAAGATGATTAGCTTTGCAATTTTGTGAGTTACTTGCTGGTAGCTCAGTCAGATTTCCGGAGCTAATTATTGCTCCTCCTTTATAAGCCACTGATACTCTTATGCGATTTTATACCTCTTTCTGAAGCAGCAACTGGTTCTTTCAATCTTTTCATCTTAGGGATCACTTGTGAGCTAATATGGATAAGTCATTCATATTCCAGGGGCTCTAGCTACCCTAGAATGTAATCACTGAAAGATCTCTTTTACTGTGGCTGTTTTCAGATCATGCACAGATCACTTCTTTAACTTAAATCACTGCATTTTCCATATAGATTACTCATCCAGTATAGACTTACATGTGTTGCTAATATCAGGCCTTGTTGGGAATTACACCTGATTTCTAGAAAAAAAAAGAATCTGCAAAAGTACAGTATGTATCCTCAGAAAAAAAAAGTATGAAGAAATAGAGTGTTTTAAGAGTCTGTTCATGAGGACCAGCATGAGAACCTGCTGCCTGCTGCATTAGCTGCTATCTGCTGTGTTAGCTACTTGGTATGACCCTGACTACACTTAACCGTACATTTGATTTAAATAGACTTTGATTTCTTCTGGTATTCTATCTCCTACTTTTGGATGGTTTCTCATTTATGACCCCTTTTCTCTGTGAATACAGATACAGAGTGCTCAAATAATTCATAATCGGAAAAGGTTGGTATTTGTATTATCTTCCATTAGAAAAGATGTATTTCCTGTGGTTTCTTGTTTCTGTGAGGAAACCTTTGATAGCTGAATGATGGTTTCCATGTGTTACTACAAAAAAAAAAAAAAGGATTAAGAGGCAGCATAAATAATCTTAATTAAAGGTTTCTGTTTGCTGATGAGAAGGACTGGGGCCCAAAGCTCAACATTGATTTGCCTACATGGAGTAGGATAATAAGGACAATAACACCAGTTACAAATTTTATGGTTCTGGAAGTGAAGCTGAAAATTAGGGAAAATAAATTCAAGAAGGCATCCTGAAAAATTATGCTTTTGGCTTCTTTAGCAATACAATTGAAGATTTGGTTTTCCTGATATAATTTTCATAATTTTGTGTTATTTTTAGTGGCTCCAATAAAAGCTTTATGCAGTCAGCGTTTTGAGGATTGGAAAGAAAAATTTGGACCTATTGGACTCACCTGCAAGGAGCTGACAGGAGATACACTGATGGATGATTTATTTGAAATACATCATGCTGATATTATTATCACTACACCGGTAGGTTTCAATCCCACTTCTTACAAGAACTCACAAAAAGCAGACATTAGCACCCTTCTAATTGTATGCTGCTAGGACAGCTCCTTTTTTTTGTATACGCAGTAATTTTGCAGTCCTTATGCTTGCCTGCACACCGCTGTGCACAGTTAGTTCCTATAAACAGCACTTAGTAATACAGTCATGTGCCAGATGAAACATACACGGCATCAGCTTTAATTTAACTGATTCTGTTTAAAGATTTGTTAAACTTTAGGCATGTCTGCCTGGACTGTTGCTGCGGCCTATGTTGGCCTTTAAAACATCTTTCACCTTCTGTTGTTGTTTTGTTTTGTTGATTTTTTTTCTCCAAGGAAAAATGGGATAGCATGACTAGAAGATGGAGAGACAATTCTATAGTCCAGCTTGTACGACTGTTTCTCATTGATGAGGTAAGAAAAAGGATGGGGTTTTATGCACTGTTTTTGTATCTTTTTTGAAGATAGAAGGAAACTTAGAAAATACTAGATTTATTAGCACATGTGTAGATTGGTACTGGAGAAATACTTAGCAAGTCTTTTGAAATTCCTGCTAGGTTCACGTTATAAAAGATGAAAGCCGCGGCGCAACATTAGAAGTTGTGGTCAGTCGGATGAAGACTATTCAGTCTTCTCTTTGGCATCTGTTAGAGAAGCATGACACTATTCCTCCCTTGAGATTTGTAGCTGTTTCTGCAACAATACCAAACACTGAAGATGTAAGAGTTACCTTTGTATTTTTATCAATGGAGTTGTATTTTATAAAATTTATCTGGAATTGCAATTTCAGATTGATAACAAAATTTGCAATTTTGAAGCTGTCAGCCAAAGACAGCTGTGAGGTTAATGCTATGTAACAAATTACCTTCAGCCATATGGAGCTATCAGCCAAGTATGGACATGCTTCAGTTTTAGATTTCTGTTTGTGATTTTTGCTTCTAAAGTACAAATCACAACAGACTCAAGATCTCAGTCCAAGTTATATTGGTTCCATAGAAAGCAGAACCTCACCTGATTTTAGTGATAAAAGCAATGTCAAATGTGTTAATAGCTTATATGTGACAAAAAAGCTAAGTTAATTATTCTGTGATGCTGTTAGAGCAGGAGCATGATTAAAAGAAGAAATTTATAATTTCTGTTCTGTATCTTCTTTTTTAAAGATTGCAGAATGGCTTTCAGACAGCAAGATGCCTGCTGTATGTCTGAAAATAGATGAGGATCAACGACCAGTGAAGCTACGCAAAATTGTTCTTGGTTTTCCTTGCAGTGACAATCAGACAGAATTCAAATTTGACTTAACTCTTAACTACAAGATAGCTAGTATTATACAAACATACTCAGAACAAAAACCAGCACTTGTGGTAGAGCAGCTTTTTTTATTGCATTTGAAATTCTTTCTTTCTTAAAAGTGTTGATTCAAAAAAAACCCTTTCTTGTTTATAGTTTTGTGCCACAAGAAAAGGAGTACAGCAGGCTGCTTCTGTTTTTGCAAAAGATGCTAAATTTCTACTGAGTATAGAACAGAAACAAAGGTATTTTTCTATTTGGGTTGTTAATAAGTGTTTGTATATTTTAGTAAACATGTGACTTCTGTGAGGAAAGCTGTTGAGCTAATACCATTTCTAGCAGAGGAGTGTGCAAAAAAATCTTCACAGTTGACATTCTTTTTGGTAAATTGGCACTCTTCTTGGGAAGTTTTATTTGCTTCTCAGATTTTTAGGGTACTTTTCACAAACATTAAGTTGTTTCTCAAAGTTGCTTTATAAACATAAAAACGTTAATTCTTACAGGCCTCTAAGGCATTGTAGTGTGAGCAGTAAGCTTATGAATAGTTAAACTGGATGTGGTCTTACTAGTGTTTTAAGTCAAACCATAAAATGTCTTTGTATTATCAGATACCTTTAATAAATACAGCTGTATTAATTATTATTTACTTTGGGGTTGCCTAATTATGGGAGCTGCAGAAGCTACCTCCTGATTTTGGACCTCAAACATGATCTTATTTGCCTTATGTGAACAACACATAAGGATTGTAGATTGTGACTTTGAAAGATGACTAGGATGGAAAGGCTACAATAGCTGCCCCAGAGAGTCAGTCTGTTCCCTCTGTGAAGATGGGAAAGTTGGTGGTTGAAAATACCCAAAGAATATATAGGTTTTAATATTATTTTTTTATTTGTGTTGCATAGATTACAGAGGTTTGCAAATTCATTGAAAGACTCCAAACTGAGAGGTAAATATAACCTACTACTTCTCTGCTCTGTGAATGAATACTTGCTTGAGTAAACTTGGTTAAATGATGCATGTAATGATTTCATTGTCAGATCTTTTAATGTGTGGTGTGGCTTATCATCATGCGGGTATGGAGATCTCTGACAGAAAAGTAATTGAAGGGGCTTTTACTGCGGGAGACTTGCCAGTACTTTGTAAGTAAATTTAACTTTGAAAGTCAAAATGTCGTTTATATATCCTAAGAAGACTGCAGTTTCAGTGTGGTAATATTTCATGATTTTATAGTTTGTTAAACTTCTGGAATTTGTGAAATCCAAATAAAGGTGTTTTTGTGTTTCACGTGCACCTTTACCCTCTGAGATTATATATGCACTGTTACTAAAGACCATAGAACTTCTTTTCACTGTGCATGGAGGTTATCCTCCCTCATATGTCCATATAGGTCTGGCCATGCCCATTTTTTTCCTACCATTGAGTCATCCCGTTGAGGTGGAGCTCTGTGCTTATATGTCTTTCCTCTGAGTTCACACAATGTTTTCTTTGGGTCTTTTGAAGCAGTGGCCTCCCAGAAGGTAATCTTGTATATTTATGCTTCTTAGATGGGCAGGATACTATTTTCAAACTCCCATGCAAGGTGTTGTGACTGATAAAGAGATTCTTAAGAACTACTCCAACTGTTGTTACATGAAATGAGAAGGTATCTGAGACATAATTGTCGCATTTCATCCAGGCTTTCTTTTTCTGTAAACAAAAGATCCAGAGCCTATGGAGAATTGTCTGTGTGTTTCATGTACAACACTGAAAGATTCATGGATTTTTTTCTTTCCTGTTACAATGGTCATGACTTGCTATGAAAATGTAAGGTAGATACCCTTACTGTGATCTGGAAACCTTTCTAGCGTTGCAATGTCCATGGTATTAAAAGGCCCCTGCATCCCTGCAATCTACTGTGCTTTGGCTGCCTGGTGCACTGTGTGTGACTGTCAGCTGTGGTGCCATTTCTGAAATCTCAGGAGACTAATTCTATGATTGCTCTTTGCAAAAATGGCTTTGAGACCCTGTGCCACAGCTGAGCACAATGTGAACATACATGTGGACTATCACGTGGCAAAGTTGCTCACTGGTACTTAAGTCCTTTGAAATTTGTAGTTTGTAGGAATATTTCAGAATCATCTGAGATACTAGAATTACATTTCTATAACAGGGGAAACTGAAAGAGTATGGAGCATATTCCACTTCATAGCTCTGTGAGCATGATGGGAAGTAGGGTTTTAACACACCTTTCACAGCTTCTGCAAAGGGAAAGAAATCTTTTGGTTTTGAAGTAGAATATCCCTATACTCACAGTGTGTGTGTGTGTATTCATGTATATCTATATATACACACACACGTGGACTGAAGCTTTGATTGCACTGGTAAGTAATCTTTCTTTGTGGCCTTTTTTTATGGTTAGGTTCTTTTGTTTTGACAGATTTCCCATTTTGCATACTATCAAAATATGAAAAACTTGTAAGTAATAATTTTAATTTTCATTTCAAAAAGAATTGGAAATTTCATTAATACTTTGTCCTAGCAAACTAGTAATATCAGTTGGCTTTCTATGTTAAATTCTCGCCATTCCATATATTCTTTAGAGAAAGTGAATCACAAAGATGAGTGTGGGATAGTTTGCCACACACTTGACTGGGGTTTTCCATGTGAGAACGTGTGTTGGTAAAGTGCTGTGATAGTGTTGGTGGTGATTTTGGTTCGGTACTATGGATGAACAATGCTAATGACTGATGACTTAAAATACATCTTAAGAGATATTGACCACTACTAACCAAGATGAAGTAATGGCTGTATTCATATATCTATGCATGAAGAAATAGGAAATAATGTTTCTTCATTGTGTGTCTGTAATATTGAGGGTGGATTGGATTATGGATTATCTCCAAATGTAAAGGAATGTTTAAATAAAAGTATCTGGGATGTAAATTGTTAAAGAACTCGATAATAAATGATGCTGATGATCAGGTACACAGAAATTGTTATGCAAGTACTTGTCTGTAATCTACATAAAATCCTTTGTGGTGCAGAATGCCCACTGATTCCACTAGAAACTAACAGCTCTTAGGCATCAAGACTTAAGTCACTTATTTGCTGCTTGTTGAGCGTCTGCCAGGACATTTCGATGGTGTTCATATACTTTGCTCTGATGTAGTTACTACCAGCACCTTAGCTATGGGAGTCAATCTACCTGCACACCTGGTGGTTATAAAATCCACAATGCACTATGTTGGAGGAGTGTTTCAAGAGTACAGTGAAACTGATATTCTGCAAATGATTGGGAGAGCTGGAAGGCCTCAGGTAAGTTAATGCTCTATACATTGGTGCTGTCCATAGATTAGTAGAAACTATTCTCAACGAAGAAACAACAATGCCAATAATTTTACTGCAGCATTTGGTTTTTAAAGGGTTGTTATTGGTACTTATATTACTCCTGCGTAACTTCTTAATTGAGAAAGAAATCTGTTTGCTTTTGTATGGTCCACCAAAAAGTGGAAAAAGATCTAAAGATTACATTTCAGTTACATGGTCAGTGGGAATTAGAGAAATAATGGGAAGCTGGCAAACAATAGCCATTTCAACCAGGATTTGAAGAAAACAGTTTTAATGGGTTCAACAGATACGTGATACATATTCAAATGGATTTTTTTTTTCTAAGAACTAGAGAGCAGCTTTTATTTGTGGTTTTATTTTTCAGTTTGACACTACAGCTACAGCAGTTATTATGACTCGTTGGAGCACAAGGCAGAGGTATATTCAGATGTTAAATGGTGCTGATATAATAGAGAGCAGGTAACTAAATATTTTTTGTAAGACTTTATAGATGGTAGCAAAGTTTCATAGTTTCCACAGAATGTGTTTTTTCAGGTGGGTTTTAGGGTGTTTATTTGGTCAATTTAGAAGAAATCAAGAAAAATTTAAGGAAAATCAAATTGAGCTATTCAGGAGTTAACAGCCTTTGTTTTATCAGCCAGAGCCATCTTTAGAACGTTTTAAACTCAACCACAAAAAAATAGTTGTCTAAATTCCTGCTGGAAAACTGAGGAAACTGAAATAGTTCATATTGCAAAGACAAAAAGCAAGAATTGAACCCAGATCATGTCTCTGAATTTTTAGATAATAGAGTCTGGGAAGTACTCGACCTACAAGAATTCACTTCATTTTAACAGATTATCAAGAGAAAGGAAAGTTAAGACATTAAAGAGTAAAATAGGAAATTTTTTGCGAGTAATTTTGTTAACATTTAATTTTCAAATATATACAGAATATCAACATTATGCTGTAACTTTTAAATGTTTGTAGATTTGTTTTCTAAATGTGAAACTTCACAGTTGGCAGTTTATTTTTCCTTGCTGGACATTATGCCATAATAAACAAATTACATTGTTGATTATTTACATTACCTTTACTGTTTTCTATTGATTTCACTGATTACAGTGATCAGTTGATGTAGTTTTGGAGGAGGGGTTTGTTTGGTTTTGTTTCTTCCCAAAAAATAGTTTTAGCACTTTTTGTATTGCTAATGGGTAATTTTGTATTGCTAATGGGTACTTAACTCCTGTTTTTTTGCATTAGCTTGCACAGGCATCTTGTTGAGCACTTAAATGCAGAAATAGTGCTACACACTGTCACAGATGTCACTGTAGCTTTGGAGTGGATACGATCAACCTTCTTGTACATTAGAGCCTTAAAAAATCCAACTCATTATGGTTTGTTTTTATTTTTTTTAATTTATCTAAATTATCATACTAGGATGTGTTAGATCCATATTATTTGTTTCTGTCATTTTCTTATGGACTGTTATTTCATAACAAGATGAAAACAAGATGTACAATATGACCTGTAATATTTTGTTGCTTTGACATAAGTAGTGGGAGTTTTATCATGGTATAACATTTAAAAATCATGAAGGAGCCATTTACAGCTTCATAGTGTATTTCTTTTGCTCTTAATACACTGGGCCATATATTTATGCTGTATCAAGCCATAATGTATTTTTCAGTGCTGAATACGTAATCTACTGTGAAGAAAAAAAAAAAGTCTAATATTTCATAGTTTTTCTAGAATGAAATTTCAGTAGTATTAATTCCAATTTCTTCAGTTTGTCTTGTCCAGAACATCATCTTGGTCCCCATGCCTGACCATATCTTTGTTCCTGCCCACTTGCTCTACAGCTGATTTCGAAGTCATTGGACACTTACTGGAGACAATTTTTTATAAGGATTTATAGCTGGGGCTGGAACATAGTACATCTACTAGTTGAATGGATGTTACAGTTTAGGTGGCTTTCTATGTTCTTAAATGGGAAAACTGTACCTGGGAAGTTGCTACTGACATTTCTGCAACTTCTAGCACTCTGATATTTTACATTGGGGAATATCTGCAGCTTTTACCTTTGCACATCTGTTCCAAAAGCTACTTACTGCTACTTAGATAGTTCCACTCTCTAAGGCTTCTGACTTGTTAGCAGTGCAATAACTACACCTTTTTTATTTTGGGGTATTTATCTGGCTCCCAAAAATCAGCAAATCAGTTTTGATGGCTGATGATATTGAGGAGGAAGTGTATAATTGCATCAGGTTAAAACACCTTTTGTCTTTTCCATGGAGGTTTTTCACCTGGATTGGATAAAATTGGAATTGAAGCAAAATTACAAGGTAAGTGTGACATTTTCAGCTTTTTTTCAGTAAAATGTTATGTTTTAGAGCAGATTCTCTCATTATATATATATCTCCATTAATTTCAATAGATCCATTTGCAAACCAAATGTAATTTACTATGTTTTGTTATTTATTTTATTACATTATTAATACTTTTGAAAGACTATAAGTGCATTTTGTTTTTCTTGTATATGGGAAAATAATTAAATGCTTTTACCTATCTCGTCTTCATATACGTGCTCAGAAATATGGAGCAGAGCACTTTAATTTTGATTGCTTGTCATTCTTCCTAATTTTCCTTTGATTGATCTCATTTACTTTCATTAATTTCTATTGCCATACTTTCAAGAAAGTCCTTTTTAGAAATTGTTGTCTTCCCTTCATCATAAATTTAGCTTTGAAAACAAAGCACGTAAAACATAAACATCTTTACCTTGTTCAGACACAGTTTAAAATTGCATGATTTTAAAAGGCTTTTTTTGCTAAGACTTGAATAATTCCAGTTATTGACTTTTTCTTAATACTGCATTTCAGCTATTTACAATTCCATTAGAAAACATACAGCTGACTAAATAGTTTGGGAATCAGTGCCTCTCATCTTTAAATATAGAAATAGCATACAACTCTCTTTGAGTGGTTTGGTTTTAATTTATTTTAATGAAGTTTTCTGGTAGATCAAAAATGAGTATATTAATAAAAGACTACTTGCTGTCGAGTTCTGCAAATCTATAAGTACAGTTTTCTATCATCGGTGAAAGTCCTTGTGTCCATCATAGTTCTGTACCTTTGTATACTGGACCATTTGGAACTTAAGTATCTGGAAGAGGGTCTGGTACATGAAAACATGGACAGATACACAACCAGAAATTTGTAGAGCTTGTACTTGGACTCCACTTCCATATTTATTACATTTTACACAACTGTGTAGGAAAAATTTGTGATTGATGTTGGGCTTGGTGGAAGGATGCCAAGGCTTTTTATTGTTTAGGGATTCCAAAGGCCTATCCTCAGGAACACAGTGTAAGTGCTACTGCTTGAAGTCTCCAAATAGGAGAGACATTGACTTTGACTTGCAGAGAGCTAAAACAGAAGCACTTATCAGTAGAAAAAGTTACCTTGTTCATATGCTTGTTCAGTAGTTTTCTATCTTTTTTCTGTCTTTTAGATCAGGACTTTTCTATTTTTGGCATGTAGGTTGAAAGGAATAGAGGTAATGAAGCATGTTACTACCTAAAAAAGCCTTCATGGGAGAAGGCATGGTATGAAACCACCTCTACAGTTAGTGCGAGGGTAGAAGAATTCACTTTAAAATGCTTTTTCAGTGTGGATTGTATTTTCTTGAAGTGTGTTTTGATCTTAAAAACAACCTCTTTTTAAAGTTCTTACAGAAACTAGCTCCTCTTCCCTGCACGCATGAAGTATTTTGTAGTAATGTATATAGTTACTTGTTTTCATACATTTCATGTGTAATGTGAATGATTTCTGGTTGCTATAGGAACTATCACTTTGAGTGCTTTTCTAACTGACTTTTAAATTCTGAACATTGCCTTGGTCTTGAAAAGAGAAAACTAAAACACTTTGGTCATCCTTATGCAGATACCTGACACAGTAGGTTCAGTGAACTAAATACAAATGCACCTGATACAGTATGAAAATATCTGATGAAAGATTAATAAATACTTGTGGATATTTGAAATTTGAACTGTTTAAGTGTTAACTCTCCAGCAGAAATCTTTTGTATAAATGCTGTGGGCTTTCCGGTCTGTCATTCAGAATTGAGTATGGCAGCCTACATTCCAGCATCATTTCTTTTCCTTTGTTACTTTTGCTTTGCTGAAAAAGAGTCAGGTTGTCCCGTGAGTTTCCCCAGGCAGAAGTTAACCACCAACTTTAATAGAAAGAGAATCATATTCTAAAATCTTTTCTTGAGTTCAGTGGAATTACTTGGATATACATTCATAGCAATTTGGTGATGTTTCTGATTTGTATGTAGTTTTTCTGCATGTACTAAAAATACAGATGTTTTCAAATTTTTGACAGAACTGTGTCTGAAGAACTTAAATGATTTATCATCTTTTGATTTGATCAGGATGGATGAAGCAAATAATTTCAAACCAACAGGTAACACTTCTTTTAAATAACTACTTTTCAGAAGTGATGTTGAGATAGTAGTGAACTACAAAGGGTCACAACATTTCTTGTGACCCATTAATTGGAGTACACAAATGTAGTAGAGAGCAGAATCTGAGATTGTTTGACTAGAATATATGAACAGGTTTCTTTAACAAGTCATGGAAGTTCTATCCATGGATCAATATTAGGAGAACGATTTTTTTCTTGTTGTTGCTGAAAATGTTTTGCAGATTAGGAGAAAATTGCAGAACATTTTGACAGGATAATTGGATGTGTCACAGTGCAGTGAAGGACAGGTTTTATCAATATCTGCTTGTGTCTGCAGTCCTCTGCTAGAGGTGGTTGGCTTTTCAGCAACCACAGTTCACTGCCTGGCATGTTAGTGTTAATTAATCTCCACTGGAGAAAACTAACTGGCACATGGTTCTTTCTGCCACTCCATGATCGGGTCAGTAATGCCCCTGAGACACTGGGGGCAATAGCATACTGAGTTGGTGGTGAACCTCACAGAGGCCTGTAATAAGAAAATTAATTTAATTTTGTGACTTAAAAAACCTCCAACTCCCTAAAATAAACTTGGCATATTTATTTTCTAAGGTGTATTCTTCTTTTACAGAAACTGGAAGATTAATGGCGTGGTATTATATTGCATTTGATACAGTGAAGCAATTTTTCACAATTAAGGGAACTGAGACTTTAAATGAATTGGTAATTTAACTTTTTAAAGAAAATTTACATATGTTCAATTGATTATAAACAGAATCTAAGATAAGAAGCAGAAGGTTTTATTTTAAAGAGCTCAGTCTTTGTTTATGTAAAGTTTTAGAAAATGCATCTAATTAAATTCTGTATGGGGTATTTTTGAGGCCTTGTACGTTGAGATCTTTTGATTTCCAACTCTTTCTCCCCTCGCTATATTTGCTTATGAAGATGAGAGAGAAAGCTGCTGCAGCTGTTCTGTTTATGTATTAAACATTGTACTGTTTTGTGGTTTAGTAGTATTTTTGTTGCAAAAACCAACTGCATCAAGAGCAGATTTTAGTTTTAAAGGAATTGTCTTTCTATTTTAAGCAGCTTTCCTCTGTCGGATAACAGGTTGTTTTTGCTACTGTTAAGTCACAAAAGACATTTTGTTTTCAAGCAAATACTATTGTAGAACAGATTTGCTATGAAAAAATGGAATGCTTCTTTTCTTGTGGCTATCTTTTGTTCTTAAAGTATGAAGAAAGTAAAATGAAATACATAACAGATGGGAAAAACTGGGTTTTTTTGCCTTGTACGTGATAAAGTGTTAGCAGTGTGGTTAATTTTAGATAACTTCAGGTGAAATAGTAATCTAAAAGCTGAAAGAAAATTTTCCCTTTTTGTTATATAATAGCCTTATAGGGAAATGAATGGAAGTTGGTCAGTATTAAAAAGAACTTTTCATGTTCCTAGTGTTGAGACAATAAAATTTTTAAAGTGTTCTTTTAAAAAACAGAAGTTGGAAGAAGTGATAGAAAAAATGGCACATAAAAACAATTAATAAAGAACTCTAATTGCTACAGATTACAATGATCTCCAACTGCACAGAATTTCTGGATGTCAAGTTAAGAACAAATGAAAAGAAAATACTGAACACTTTGAATAAAGACAAGGACAAAATAACTATCAGGTACAAAAAAAAATCATTGAAGAATGAAAGTACGTTTTTAGCAATAAATCAAATGAATTGTAGAAATTATGTATGTTTTCATGCATAGGTTTCCAATGGAGGGGAAGATAAAAACAAGAGAAATGAAAATAAACTGGTAAATATTATATTGTGCTGTTATATTTTATTGAAAAACTGTCATTTTATGCCTGTTGAAGTCCCTGCTAAAATCTGTCATTTTACAGAGGACCAGATCTTGCATTTCATTTTTTCTATTTTGTGTTTCCTTTTTTTTTAAAATGTTATTATACTTTGTTTACAATATGGCTTGTATGTAAAAAAAATTCTTTTTCCAGTCTCATTCAGGCTCAGCTGGGATGTATTCCAGTTCAAGACTTTACTTTGACACAAGATACTGGCAGAATATTTAGAAATGGCTTAAGAGTTACTAGATGTATGGTAAAATTTAATCCTTTTTTTGGTTCAAATACAAATAAGCTACATTTTATTTGATTAATATAAGTCAATCTTATTTTTACAGGGTTATCTGACTTTCTGGCATCATCTAAGAACAACTTTTCTGCTTTATTAAACTCTTTGATTTTAGCAAAGTGTTTCAGGTGCAGACTTTGGGAAAATTCACTTCACGTGTCTAAACAATTGGAAAAAATTGGTAGGTACTAGACAGAAATTATAAAAGTGTAATCTGATAGAGAATCAAACCTCCTAATTAGCCTGCTGGTTTCTGTGGTGTCTGCTTACATAATAAAATTAGTCTCGTAATTACTCATTTGCCACAGTTGAGTACCACAGTTGTCAGAATAATCTGTCATAACAAAAATGAACTGTTTAGTAATTTCCTTCAGGGTTTCAAAGTATTTCAGAATTGTTCATATTTCTTAATGTTCATCTCAGCGTCTTAGGCATATTCCACATCCGTGTGATTGCATGTCTCTGACTAGGCTATGCCTTCCTTTCCAAACAGCTGTCACTGTAGTTCCTCTTACTTATATGCATGAAAGCCCTTTAATTCACATTGACATGGATAGGAATCCTGAAATAGAAATAAATTTATTGTGCATGAGGTTCTTACACACATGATGATCAAAAGTTTCTAATGATCTTCTTCCTATCACTGTATCCTGTTATTGGATGAAATTCCAGCTGGAAGTACCGGCTTGTCATAATTATTTGAAAAGGAGTTCAGAAATTTTTGAGTCCTCTGCGTTACAAAAATGTAGTCATACTTGTTTGAGGTAGTCGTATAGCTTCCTGCTTTGAAGTCTGGTCTTATCATACCTTCATGCTTTCAGAATTCACTGCAGCCTTCTCTGTATTTCTTCTTTAAAGACACACACGCTCTGTACTGAGCAGCATAATACAGAGATCTGCAAATTTGAGAATGGCTAATCCAGAAAATCCATATGGTCCAGTACGTTACAGCCTTGCCAGCTCAAGTGCAGAAGCTGTAGTGCTTCATTCACGTGGATTCAAAGCAGGGGACAAGGCTTGTTAGCTTGTGCACTGCATGGTATGGTGTGCTGGGAACACATTTCCACTACTCCACACCCGTGCCAATGGCAACACAGGTTGCCCTCATCTGAGGGATCTGCCTCGTGTTCAGCATTTCTAGGGAGTTAGGATAAGTGGAGTAAATATGGCACTTGCAGTGTAGACAAATCCTTCCTGTACACTGTATTCAGTAGAATAAAGTCATGTTTAGTTTTTTAATAATGTAAGTGCTATATCTACACATCTGTCCGATTTTCCTTTTTTTTTGTACATTTTTCTTATGCTATCATATCTCTTGCAGCATATTCTGCAGAGACTCCTAGAAGATTCTAATAAATGCATTTTTTCAGTGACTTTTGTTATTATTTTGCTCAGAAATGTTTTGATCCTTATGATTTTAACATAGTTAAATAATTCTTTGGATAGGGAAAAAATTCTGACACAAAGAATAGGGTGTAACGTGCTTTTTTTCATCATACAATATGCAGAACACATTTCTTGATTCTTGTAGAAAGTGATCTAAAATCTGGTTTACCAAGGAAAACGTAACTAAAAATTCTCACTATTGAAATACTGAATATTTTCATGTTTGATTTGTATTGCATTTCTTTTTCCCTTTACAAGTGGAGAAATTAAATAATACTAAAATATTTAATCAACTGCAAAGAAATGTAGTGATTTGCTGGGCAGAAAGCTGGGTCAAATGTAATATAAAATTATTTATGCTTTGATTATACCTGCTATAGTGCAGTTTTTCAGAATAATTTGAGGTCATTGATTGTCCTTTAACAGCATAAAACTTAAATTTTTCACAGGTGTGTCACTGTCAAATGCTATGGTAAATGCTGGGCTGACGTCATTTAAAAAAATTGAAGACATAAACGCAAGGGAACTTGAATTGGTAATTTATTATTTTGTACACGGATAAATATGATAAGGAAAAGATCAAGTATTAATACTGTTACCAGTAAAAACAGTATGGTTAATATATATCTGCTGTATGATCATAGCAAAATTTAGGGGTTTAGTTGGTTATTTGTTTTTACTAGTGAATTTTTAAAAAGTCTGTAACTACTGCTGTTTGTCCTTGAAAATGTGTATGATGTTTTGTTGTAGTAAATTTAATGTGAATGATTTCACTGATTTGGCTGAGTTTGGAAAGCAGTTGCTTAAATATGTAGAATTTCATCATTAACATAATTCGAAAGAAAGGACAATATGCATTTCCCTTTGGGGAGTGTTAGAAAAAATATAAAAGGAAATATATACAGTTTCTCTTAATGTATCTTAGTTATGAGAATCCCCAATTTCCATTATTGCTAGTTTGAGATGGTGATAGAGTAAAACTCTTCTGAATCATCTATAAAGCACTTTCTATTTTAGGGAAGTTAGATTTTACTCCAGGGCAAGTTCTTTGGTTCTTGGCTTCTTTTCTGAGGAAACTTATTCCAGTGTTTCAGAAGATATAACAGATTTCTGAGGGAAACCAATCTTACTTGTTTTTTTTTATTTTGACTTCAGGAATTTGATTTCTTGTTTCTGCCCCTTTTGTGGTTTTTCCTGTCATTTTTTTTGTTTTAGTTGAAGCTAGGGCAACATAGAAGAGTCATCTCATATAAAACTTGAGTAGCTGGGTTTTGAGGTCATTGTCTAGTTCATTGGCTGTTACCTGAACAGAAGCAGTAGCAACATGAAAAAGTACTGGAATTTTCTTTTGGTAATATTGCTATTCTGTGCATCCCTGACAGTAGAGAACCAGGAGTGATAAGGGCTTTTGTTGCTAGCATAATTACTCAGGTGACTTGGATTCCTTGGATTTACATTTCTCTTGGCATCTCTAATCAGCTGAATGTATCAGAAATTAAATTCAATCTTTGCAGATTTTAAACAGACATCCTCCTTTTGGAAACCAGATAAAAGAGTCTGTTTTGCACCTTCCAAAATATGAACTTGATATTGAACAGGTAAATGCTTTTCTATCTATTGTATGTTTTTTATGCTGGTATTATTAAATGAAAGAGCAAATACTGACTTAAAGAAATGTTGAGTCTTCGCTGATAGAAGATTACACAATATCGTGACCTCCTTCCAACTTAGTATGTGTAATGAAACTCTTAAACGTTGAATGAGAGCCTTGGAATAGACATTCCCTGTAATATATTGGCCCCTCTCTCTCTCATTAATAAAATTTTATGTTACAGATGCAAACCAGTATATCCACATTTTAGCTTTATATGTCAGCCTGAGAGGTCTCTTCTATCTTGAATATAAACAAACCCTAGAGACAGAAAAACATCCAAATAAAACTTACTGAAGAGGCATTAACTCGTATTTATTTTCTACATCACAGTTAGGAATATAGAGAAACAGTAAATTATTACATTTACCTAGTTGGTGCCCTTTCAAAGGAAGGATACAATTCCACATGTAATCAGGAGCTTCGAGGTTCTGATATGCATTTTATCTTTAAATGGGTCACATAGCCACTCTGCCTTTCTGAAATGCAACATTTGAAAAATAACCTTAAAGTTGAAACAAATTAAGACATCTTTGAAGTTAAAAACTCAATAGATGTATGAAATACTATTGTTATAACAATCAGTTCTAGTTAAGTTTTTCATTTGCCATAATGCTAGATGAATAGTTTGATTCTCAGAACAAAGATTTAACAATTATAAATATCTTATAAGATATTTATGTTGGGATCCCAAAATATAACTTATATATAACGAGTTTTCTTCTTGCATATTTCTCTTTGCATTTGTCTTTTATTCTCAATACTTACTCAAATTTAGGATATTCAGCTATGGGCAAGTTAGAACTGTATAATAGTGTCTCAGAACAACAAATAAAAATTGTACCACAAATTCAAATTGCTTGAATTGAGCTTTTGTACTTGTGTCAACAGCTAGAAATTTATGGGAGGGTATATATTTTACTTTGCATATTTTAGCAGTTATGTCTTCTATATCATTTTCCCTAGCTTCCAAAATACAGCGATACATTGGCCGAAATCTTAGTAACCGTCAAATTAACAAACTATGAGCAGCTACAGACAAAGAGAACAGCGACAGACTTTCACTATGTTACACTGGTCATAGGAGATGCTGACAACCAAGTCATTTTTAATCAGAAAATTATGTATGTATGATTAGGGGGTTTTACCTCACATCTTTTTAGGGTGTTGGCTTTTGATCTGTTCTGTGACTTGCAGTTTTTGCAATACTTCCTACTGATGCCTAATAGTGCAAAATTACTGTTTATTCTACAGCATTTCCTAGTCATTGTTGTCATTTAAAATGCTGCACAAGATTCAGAGACCCCAAAAACATGTCAATGTGCTTGTCAGTGCAGAGAGTATGTGTAAATATCTGTACAACATTGATGTCATGTTATGGAACTCATAATAATTTTCCCATAAATATAAAACAAGCAAAATACCTATTAAAAAGATATATTCATCAGTTCTTAATTACTGCTGTTAGCTATATTTCTTTAATTATATTTTTTAATTGTTTTTCCCTCAAAGATGGAATTAAATTCTCCAGTTGGCTAAGAGATGCTTGGAGCAAATGGGAAAAGAGAAACAAAATCTTTTCCAACTGCCTGACCTTCATGAGAATTGTGACCGAAGTCTGGCACTTTTGGCACAACTTAAGCTGATCTGCAGGATCCCAGCTCTCTTATTGCCATAAATCATATATTATTGGAAGGTTATTCTTAGGCCACTTATCAAGCAAACCCAAAGAACTAAGGCCAAATACAGACTCTTTCACCTGTTACAGATACTGTAGTTTACAGTCTTGCTTTCACTGTCTGTGTCTAACAAAACTTTACTGATGCCTTACAGGGATTCTGTGCTACTGAAAAATGGAAATTGGACAAAGAAAATTGAAGTGAAAAGAGCTTTTAAATCAGAAGACATTAGTATAAATTTAATTAGTTCTGATTATGGTAGGTTGTGGTATGCTTTGAATTAAAAAAACAACTGCATAAGAATTCTGAATAAATTATTAAAACACTTTATATAAAGCCAAAAATATCATAAAATGAGCTGGTCTGGAAACAAAACTCTACCACATGTTTTACTGGGTTGCATACTGCCAGTCCTAATTACTTACCTGTTTATTTCATTTACTACCATACTAAGGAAATGGGAAACATCAAAATTGTTATTAGGAGACATGATTTTGCTCCGTTGGTAGAGATTAGGATTTCTTTTGTCCTTCGCCTTCAAGTGAGTTAACTTTCACTTTGGATAACCTGTCAAGCTGATAAGTTTATTTATGTCTTTGTGAATGGTTACGTTTTGCATAGTGGTAAAGAGGTATTAGATATGGATTCATCTCCACTTCAGTAGCAAGAAACTTCTGCAGTTGAAAATCTTGTGCCTTAACATGTGCAGATTTAAACAGTGTTCTCTCAGTGTCAATTTTCATATAATTGGAATTATAGCAGCAGATGAGGAGAGACTGTTATGACCTTGAAACACAGAACTTTAAAATACAATTTAAAAATTGTATTAAATTCTGTCATCATACCCCACCTGTAAAGAAGATTGCTGGGTGCTAGATTAACTGGAGTTGATGCTTCCATGTTAAACATTGAATATTGAGATTATTACAATAATAAGCCTGGAATAATCTATATTTCTGTGGCTAAACCTGTGGCTCTGGAAAAAAAGCGTTTGCTAACCAAACAGAAATGAAGAAAGTTTGTCCTTTTATTGCTACTTGGCTATCTACACATTGTACTGAGTTCAGTAAAACTAAACACAACAGTTAATTTCTCTGAAACTGCTGACAGTGAAATTAGACTAAAACCAGATCTTTCTAGTCTCTAGTTATTTTGAAGTCTGCTTCTGTTTCAGGCTTGAAGGACACCTCACATTTTTTTAAAAGCCTACAGAGTTTTCCAGCAATATTTCTAGGAAATTTTATTTCCCTAATAAAAGACAAAAATAATCTCTTTACAAAGGGTGTCGCTCAGTCTCATATGAATCCTGGTTTAATTAGAAACAGAACCATTGTTAGCATTCAATTTCAAAAGTACTGTCAACTACACTCATTTTATGCCTTTGCCATTACAGAGCTCCTCCTGTTACTGAGCACAGACTGCAGTACATTTTAAAAATTAAAATTATATTCTCATTGCAAAGCCATAGATAAATGTAGTTTTAAAATAATACAAAACATTCAGTAAAAGGGACTAATTTTTTGTTCTTCTATAACATTCTGAAAATATTTAGCATTTTTAATCTCAATCATAAAACCTCTGTTCATATAAAAGTGTGCTTTTAATGGGACATTATCTTAACAAATTTCCATGACCTTTGAATAACATTTATGTTTTCTTAAACACTTTAGAAAACTGAAGGTAATCAGTAGTTCAGAAACAGTTTAGTGTAGTTTTAAATATTTTTGTCTTTTTTTGTTCAAAGTTGGCTTTGATATACAGCGAACATATACAGCCTTTTACTTAACACCGAAAACAGAGGGACGTAAGGTGGCTACAAATCGAAAACTGAAAGCTGAGTCTAGACTTGATGTATGTTGTGGCTCACCACAAAGTCTGCCAGCAGCAAAAGTAGATACAGGTAAATGGTCAGATCACAGTATCTGGCTAATTTCAAAGTCAACAGAAAATTGAATTTTGCTGTCAAATAAAGATCCTTATTTATCCATGCTGTTTCTTTTTCAAAGGTAATAAAAGTACAATGCTGCTGCTTCTGCTTGTCACGTACTACTACAGTGCAATTCTTTGATGATTTTGAAAGTAAGAAAAATCATGGGTATTTGATATCTAATATTACTGTTTGAATTTCTATATTTGTCTAGGAGGCAGATCTAAACAAGAAATTCCTTACAAGAAATATGGAAACAGAGAATGCAACCATCGGTGTAAAAATAAAGATGTGTGTGGGCATGACTGCTGTGAGTGTCATTAAATCTACCATTTCTGATACGTTTGGGACAAATATGATTTAGAATATCTTCCTTCATACTAATGGCTACATCAACAGAAGAAGCACAAGCAAGAGAATCAGACCAGAGTTGTTGCTATGATGCAGCCACAAAAGCAGTTATAGAAAGCCTTGTCAGTAACACTTTTATAGGCACTACAGTGATTAAGAATACTTTTCAGACCATCTAGCATATGATTTAAGAACAATGTCAAGCTTGTTACACTTTTATATGAATATTGGTGTATTAAATCATTTAATTAGCGTGTTATATCTTTTAGAATCTTCTAAGAGAAGATACTAAGCTTAGTGGCGAAGTTTCCATTGATTTGAAAAGAATTAGGATTTATCTGTAATAAACTAATCTGAAGATTATTTTATTTCATTTTCTCAGGTAAAACTGGAGTACCTCCAAAGTCACAGATGAATGGTGACACACAGTTTTCTGCGTACCTAGCTGACTTAAGGAGCAGGAACTCAATTTCATCTATACCCCCAGTAAAGCGGCTAAAGGTTCATTTGAATACAGTCAGCTATTTAATATATTTATTTTAATATGTTATGTATTTGTATGTATTGTTTGCAGAGAGAATTTTATAACTAAGTATGAACATTCAAGTTTGTCTTTTCTGCATGGAGTGCAAAAAGCAAATAACGACAAAGGTTCAGGAATCTCTAAGAGGTTCTGCTGCTGTTTGGAATACTTCCAGGGGTCCACTTTTGTGCATGTACTCTGTTTTTCCTCTTATGATGTTTGATAGATTGTGGTGAGTGAGGTTCAAAGACATTGTCGAAAGGTACTGTACAGTGACTTGGTTTTGGCACAATATAACCTGAATGAAACAAATAGTGGTATTTATTATGCTACTAAGAGGTCTTTCACTGGCAGGTAAATCCACTTTCATAAGAAACCCATCCATATTAGTTTTTAACCTGTGAAAGATTTCATGGCTTGCACTTCATCCCTTTGAACGCAGTGTTAAACTAGGTCTTTCTGCAGCAAGAATGACATTTGTGATATTGGAGGGTTTTATTTCCTCCTCAGAGTTTTATTTACTTGTTTGCAATACAGGATTATTTAGCCTATAGCTAATACAGATGAGTTAACCAGTTTGGCTTTGCCGGGGTGCTTGGATAGCTCCACCAGAAGCACTTAATTCAAACCTTTTTAACTGATTACGTTATATAAGCAGACGCCAGAAAGGTTTTATATAGGATATCTAAATATTATGCTAACTTGATACAGTATTAATGATGTCATTAACCTTGTTAAAAAAAATAACTGTTCTCAATATGTTTGTATCTTAAGAGTTAAAATATTCTGCTTTTTTTAGATGCAGATGTCAAATCAAGCTCAAAATGTGGATCTCAAACAATTTGGTTTTACACCCAAATCTTCATTGCCAACACTGCCAAGGTACTGATTAATATAAGTAATAAAAAGGAAATCTGTCTTATTTTAGATGGCATACTTAGTTGTAACTATTAGAATTTTTTGTGTGAATAAAATTATTTTTTGCACCTTTCTGCAAATGTTTTGTCACTGATTTTTTTATTTCTTTTTTTTAATAGGTCTAGCAATAAACAGTTGTCTTTATCACCTTCAGTGGACCAGGCAGATAATGTTAATAGCTTAGGAGTATCTCAGAAACAGATGCAACCCTGGAATTATGGAAAGAGTAGTAAGTTATTGCTAATGTTTGAAATTACAATTTTCACTCTTTTATCTGAACTCAAACTTGCTGAAATCACTACAGCAACCAGTATAGCATTGTAGAACACTGACTGTATGGGGAATTATATTGGCCTTAATCGGCCTTCATTCTGGTATCTGCAAGAATTTCTAATGTAGATCTAAACATTTAAATGTTTAAAAGAAAATGCTTAAATATATAAAGGTCCAAACCTATACATTACAATAATACCTTTCAGAAAGTATATATTTCCTCTGAAGCCAGTTGTAATACAAGATGCATTTTACCCCTATATCTATACTTTTTTTTTCTTTTTGATGAAAGAAGTTAATGAAACATGAGGGTTTTTTTTGGCAGTTGGCAAAATTCCTCTTTCTGTTTCACTTCCCCCTAGAAGGTCACAGATGTTTTTGCATTTGGTATTAAATGATCCGTCTTCATTATCAGTATATTACTATGATGTTCTCCTCACTGCATGCCTTTTTGTATTTGGTGACAGTAGATGGATGTAAGTCAGACTTTGATTAATTTGGCTGATAAGTTGCAGCTCCAGTGTTTAGATCACACTCAGACATACAAGAAACACGGTGCTGAAATGAATTGACACTTTTTTAGTTCCTACTGCCTTAAGTGTTGGCAGCTATACTGCATAATTTTAACATTTTTGTCGGCAAGGTGGACAGTGGGATCAAGTGCACCCTCAGCCAGCTTGAAAATGATACCAAGTGTTTTGTGAGTGAGAAGAGCCAAGAGACAATGGCATACAAAAATGCTAAAAATATTTAATGTTATTTTAAGTTTACTGATGCAGATAAAAGCAGATCTTGTTTTTCAGATGCTTTGGACATGAACTTTGAAATGAGAGATGATATTTGGGATGATATTGATGATGATAAATTAGTATTTGCTAGTAACTTTGTCAGTAGAGAATTAGGTAAGGTTATTTCAACAAACTTCTTTGTTTCCTGCATACAAATTATTCTACAGCCCATTACTTGAGAGTAAATTATTATAGTATGCAATGAATAGAACTACCTGAAAGATTTGATTTATTGACTTCACTGCCAGGTTTATTACTCTATCTTAAATGTCATATATTGTGACAAATCTAATACAGAAGGGAGAGTTGAGAAAGTCACAATTAAAATTTTTTTGATTGTCTGCAACTGCATAATTGTTATTTTATCTGACTCCATATCTCTGCTTATCTTTACATTAGACCAAAATCTGGAAAAGAAATATTTCAAGTGTTAAGACATTTGAATAATTTTCAAACTATTATTTATCATATAATGTGAAATATTTACAAGGCATTTTGGCTGATTTTTAACTCTGTTTTTTAAACTTTCATTCTTAAATGGAACATGGAAATATCTGCCTTCAAATTGCAGATGAGTGTGAACCCCTTTGCCAGTATACAAGAAGCAAAGCCACAAATACCATTTCACAAGAGTAAGAGTCATATAATTTATTGCTATTTTAGAATTTTACTAGTTTAAAATATTGTCTGTATTTCACATGTATCTGTATAATTAAATGTATAGAAAGTTGTTCACTCATAAAAGTGAGGGAAATTTCAACATTTAAAAGGTATAAGTTGTTGAATTATATTATTTGTTTTTTATTTAAGTGAGCGGGGAAACAAGTAGAAAATCCTGAACTGAAAAGCAAATAGTTTTGCACTTCTGTAAAAATACTGAAATTATTCAACTTGGTATTTTCAGTTCATGCACAGTACATGATGAGACCAATATTCAGAACTCGGATGTTTCTGTGGTCAATAGCACATCAAAAGGGAATTTATCTGTACAGAGTAGAAATGTAACTTTGGTGAGTAAAAATATACTGATAACAGAATTTTCTATTGTTAGAGTATTTAATATGTAAAAGTATTTGCCGTATCTGACTTATGAATCAGTTTGGGCATTCTGAATTTCTGAACCTGTGTTGTCCAAACCTGCATGCATCCTGTGTTCAGTGTGATATTCCTAGTACAAAGAAATAAGACACACATTTACTTTATATAGCATGATTTCCAAACTATTTGAACTCAATTTGATAGGTTTTCTATGCAGTATATAATTATATTTATCACATGCTTGGTCCTTGTCAAATACCATAATATCAATTAAATACCTGCACTACATTCTACAACAATCTGGCAGTTTCTCTTTCCGGTAGTTGTTTTAACCATATACACTTTAACTTTCATGTTGCAGTTCAATGTTCAAGAAAAAAATCACTCAAATGCTTCTCAAGAGCTGAAAAACATACAGTGTTCTCCTGTCTCAAAAATAATCTCAGACTCTTCTAAATTCACTAGGAAAGAGGATTTTTTTATTTTCACAAAAGAACAGGAAAAAGAAGCGGATCCCAGGTAATAAACAGTTAGATTCTACTGTTGCCTCAGCATTCAAGTGCTTAGTTCTTCATGGAATATAGACCTCTAAGCATTGTGTTAATTTATAACATTAATTTTTAAAAAGTTTAATTTTCATAGTAATAGTAAGAACTATGTTTTCATGAAAAGGCAATTATTTAAAATTATTTTGTTTGTCTTGGTATCTCTTGACTATACTTTATGTAGTGTTCCTGTTTTCATAGGTTTTGATGTGCTATACCTAATTTGTTTGTTTCCTTAATACTCTTTAGATATGTTCTTGATGATGAAATCAGTGATGTCAAGCCCTTCCTTGGAATATTTGATGGCATTTTGTAAAACATATAAACAAATTACATTGTAAGTGCTGGGGAAGAAAAGTTACAGTCAGTTTTACAAAGTGAAGCCTTCAGTTAAGAGAATTTGATTTCTATTGTATACCTATTTACCAATAGCTGGATTGCTGCATAGAGTAGATAATAATAAAACTGGTGTCTATAGAATTCTAGTATAATATCTTAGTTTGAAAAGTACTTAAATATTTGTTTGTTGACCTTGCTGTTTTCAGGATTATAAAGAAAAATATTGGAATGTGTCAAAGAAGAGCAGTTCATAAACTGTTAATAACATTAACAGTTTAATTTAATAACATTAAATTTCTTTAGGAAAAGTAAGGGATTTGTAGTAATATGTTTGTAGTAACGTGCCCTGCTTTACAAGTGCTCTTTAAGTGAATGAAAGACACTTTCCTTGGAAATCCAGTGCTTTTTGGGTTTTTCTTTCAGTTTCTCTAATGCTGAATTTTTCATAGCACTGATTCTGTAAAATAATTAGATTTACAAATAGAGATAATAGAATGGTAAATTATTCTAGATACTTGATGTTCCTTTTGACAGTGCTATGAACTTGTTAATAAAAATGTGTAACTTCAAGCAAATGTGCTTCCAGAATCTCAGCAAACCAGTTGTTAAATGTCTGTAAAATATTCTAAAGCTCTGTTTGACTGTTCACTTTCACACCTAAGGTCATAAAATGATTTTTATAATAATAAATAATAAAAGGATATTTATTGTCCTAATACAGATTTAGGCACCAAGCATTGGATTTGGATATCTTCTTGAAGCTTTAGTGTTTGAACAGTAGTAGGCCCTGCAAGTTCAGTAGTTAGCAGAATATATAATATTGCCTGAAATCCAAGAAAATATTAATTTTTACTGTTAATTATTCAAAATATGTGGCATTAAAAGGTTAAAATTACACATGGAATATTAGCTGTCTGTTCTTGCAACATTGTTTGTAGTTGCAACCATATTTTGCTGCACTACTAGGCTGTAATTTTATCAGGCAATAAACATTTTACTTGACTCCAGTGTTTCCTTACACTTTGACTTACTGTCTGGTATAACTTTCTGCACATGAAAGACTGACCCAGCATAAGCAGCCTCACTATTCACCCCTTGATATGTTTTTCACTATGCAAATTCCAGCAGGCCCAAGCTTACTCCCTTTCCTGCAACTCAAGTATTTTATTACATCTGGAAGTTTTTAGTATGTCAGATCTCTTTTTGTCTGATGGTTTTGTTAAATTAAGCTTCCAAACTGATGTAACTCAGAATTACTACACTATTGCAGTCCTAGCCATGTGCATTTTCCAGTTCTGTGTCAGGGTAAGATTTAAGAATGCAGGGTGACAAATGTCATTTTAGATGCCCCAGAGAATCTTCTCTTGGCTCAATCTACCATGCCAGAGGAGCACAGGTCTCCCACATGGAGATGTTTCAGGTCCTCCAAGGCATCTAAACTGGTACTTGATGCTGACGTTTAAGCACCTGCTGCTTGAAATGCACAACATTTTTTTTCAATTTATAGTTCATATTTACATAGCATTCTTTTATCACCTTTGTATCCTGCCTTTCCCTGGGGTTTTAGCCTGCAACAGCTAATTCAGCAGTTCCTCAGTTTCTTCAAGTCTGACACAAGTTTCTACTCAGCAACACAAAGCTGAGCTTCAAATTTGGAAAACAGGAGAGGAAGGAAACAATCAAGATAATCTTGATTATATAATTTATTTCATTTATATAACTTTGTGATTATACTACTTGCAACTTTCCAAAATTTCACTTATCTGCTGGTTGCTCAGGCCTCACCTGCAAACTGGGAATGCTTCAGGTGGTAGGTGCTGCATTTCTTCCTGCTAGTCTGCATGAAATTCCCTCTAAAGGTTCTGAACTGTGAGGCAGTGAATAGCGGAAACTGGTTGTGCTTAGGGCTTCATAAAAATGAATAAGTTTCTATTTATTTTTCTGTACTAAGGAAGTATCTTTTCAAGATGTTTTTTGGCCCCATATCTACACTGAAGGTGAATTTCCATTTTTCTGTGAAATATTTTAGTATTTTATATAATGTCTACAAAGTAATTGACATTATTGCTGCTTTTGCTTCATTTTTTGTATAGTCTAAATATAATCACTTGCTTTTAGTTTATAGGAGTAGGTTTATATTTACACTGTTACTTCAAAGAAAATTATCCTTGCAGGCATGTATTTTATTTTCCTCTTGGTTTTCCCCAGTGCACGAGTTCAGTAATTATTGGGTTTCTTCAAGATTTAGGCTGATTAATTTTCTGGTGCTGTATTCAAATTTTTTCCTTTTGATTTTTAAAAGGCTTTAGTATCCTATAGTCAAAGCACATTATAGCAAATGCATTTCGGTACTTTCAAGGTGATTCATGCAGATGTTCTAAAAGATTATTTCTGGTCTGTTTTCCACAAAAAATCAGCATCCTATATCACCCTTGGAAAATTACAAAATTGTGTTATTGCTGCTGACAAATTTCACAGATTTTGGAATGTAAATACTTCAATACTGCAATATCTTTACATTAATATCAAACCTCTGGTGCAACAACATTTTTTTAGAGATAAGTGCTTTATTTGGCGCTTTTTTTTTTGCTTCATTATTCATATTAGTGAATGACTCTTTAAAATCTAAATCACTTTTAGAAGTTCCATGAAGATGTGCCCTCTATCTCAGGAAAAGGAATGACTTTGTATGGTAGTATTTGTTATTGTTTCATTTTTCAAATCAGAATAATTGAAAGATCAAAAGTGATACCCATAGCAGGTCTCTATGGCAACAATTAACTGTAGATACACAGTGACTATACTTCAAAACAAATACAGGCAGGAAGAGCAAGGACTGCAGAATTAGAAAAACCTAGTCAAATCTGAATTAATTTTTCAAATCAATCTTCCAAACTGAGGTAAGTCAGAACTGCTGTACTACTGCTACGTTTAGCCCAGCAGTCCTAGGCATGCCCATCCTAGTCACCTCCCAGTTCATGGCAAGATTTAAGAATGCAGTTTACCTTCTGCCCATCACCATCTTCTGATTTCCATGGAAAGCAGATGGCTCCCAGGCAGTCACAGTGGTGTTTCTCCACAGATGCTTTATACAAACAACCAGAGGACCAAACTCCCAGGTCATGCCTCAGAAGGTAAGGATAGACTTAGTTATGAAGAGCCGTAATTTTAGTCATTTAACTAAATCACCTTAAGTCACTTTACCTGGACTCCCTGTGTAGTCAGAAGATAATTCAGATTATAAGTGGGCTGAATTGCTCTCTGATGGGACTCGCCAAACTACCTGTGATGACAGTGGCCTCACACAGCTATCATGGAGAACCTTGTGTGCTGCGAATTCACAGCTGGGCTCACTGAATATTGCCTTTCTTGTGCAGATGACACACACGAGTTCTTTTATCCACATAAGGATCTAACTTTCCTAAGGTGAATAAAACAGCAAAAGATGGCTGGCTCTGCTTCCTTTCAGGTGCTGCCGAGATGATAAAACAGACTAATTAAATTCCACAGGATGACATCAGACAATTTCACTAAGCTACTACCAATAAATAAAATACAGATTAAAATACATAAAAATGTTGTTAGAGCCTAAAATGATCCTTACTTTTAATTCTGCATAGAGTTGGAACTTTAAATGAGTGGCTTGAGTTTCAATCAGTGGGATTGTATAAGTAATTCTTTGGGGATACAGCAGGCTGCCACAGACTTTAGTCTGGGGATGATTCTATAAAATTTACATTATAAAAATACTGTTTCCTATAATAGAATAGTGAAAGAAAATTCAATGTGACAAGAAGTCAGATTTTACTATCTTACTTGTCTTATTCTCCATAATAAAAATACATGCTTATACCTGCTTTTAATTTAACTTCAACTTCCTTATATGCTTTCTTGTCCTATCACACATACTGATTTCAAAATATAAACTGAGGTCACCCATATCTGTGCTTGAAGAAAATGCAATATTCACTCAAACCCCACAATCTTCAAAAATTGTTAGTGGAAAAATAACTATAGTGTTTAAACATGTTGCCAGACACATTTCTGTTTAAGGTACATTCATGGCATATAGAACACTGTAAATGTATTGTGACATAATTTTAATTGTATGCAGCATGTCTTGAACACATTTTAATTATGTAGACTTATTATTCATGTATTTGAAGATTTTAATGAGTTAAACATTACAGGAATTGTTAAAATAACACCAGTTGCGACAGGTCAGGCTCTTGTTATTTGGGTGTATTTTTACTCAGATATACCTTCACAGAATAGTTATGTGAGGTATAAAAGTTGGTCCTCTTAAAGGCTGTCAGAATAATGATAAAGAGTGAACAGAAGTCACCTTATGAAACCAACATGCACAAAATAGTTAAAATCAGTCAATCTGCAGAGCACAAATGATACCACTCTAAGGCATCATTATGACAGTATCAGTGGTACCTCTTCTAAAAGGGAGGATGTCTTGAATTAGTTCTTTATGTCACCCCTTGTGCTTTTTATGTAGAAGCAAGAGAGCAGTATCATGTCAATCATTTTGCTACCAGAATCTTTAAATTATATCCCTGAAATTAGATTCATGAATGCCTGTTTTTTTTCTAGCTCCTTTGCTTAACAAGGAAATAGAAAAGAAAGTACTAATCAGGGTAAAATTCACTTCCAGCAAAAGGCTAACAACACATTGAATTTATGGAAGACTTACATGAGAATAAACTGAGGCACATATGATGTTTTCAGTGATGAAGTTCAGCTTGACTGAAAACAATCAGATAGAAAAAGGGCAGGGGTTTTTTGGCTGCCACTGTTCAGCTAAGGGTCAACCTGGCTGAGCCATGCTTCTATATTTGTTCTTGAAACCCATGTGAGATTAAAATGTATCAGTTTAAGCCTTCACTTTTCTCCCACTGTTGTAGCTCTTGGTCTCCATGTGCTCTCAACAGGTGTTTCAGGTGGAATGGGCTGAGGTAAGGGCTGCATCTTGGTAAGCAATAGGGGCCCTTGGAGCCCTTTTACTGCCTTTCTCTAGGCAGTGTTGATCACTGTTGTGATTCCCTCTGGTTATGAAGTGACAGGAAAAGCTGTGCTACTGTTAACTTGCAGTCTGCACTGCATGTCCTGCTCTTGACCCTGTTCAGGCAGTTTATACCAGTTAGAGCTGTTTCCCAGTTAGTTTTAGTGTGTTACCTACCACAGTGAAACATTACATGTGCATTCTTGTCTTGTGGGATGTGCTTTGACTAATCCTGAGTCTGTTCTCCTGTGCTCTCTAAATAGATGGTTTCCATGTGCCAGGACTAGAGGGGCACATCTAATTGGTGGTGTGTGAAAAAGGGGTTAACATTTGGCAGAAATGCAGTAGATGATACTGGGTGGACATACTTTGTATGAAGAAGGTATATGCCCTTTTAAATATAATAAAAGTAGATAGAATAACTAGGAATTTCTTCCCTTATTTAACATATAGTGCGTGGAGCCAGCCTGTAATGATGAAACAGACTGTCTTTCTGGTTGATGCTAGATGGCAATTTTTATGTTTTAGATAGCTGAGCATAGGGAATAAGGCAAAACATTCTGTTTTGAAGGCTGTAAGGGTATTTTGTTTATATAAATGAAACAATGTTTCTTTTGTAACTGTGAAACTTCCTATTAAAGGATGCATATAACTTCCAAAATAAAAAGATGCTTGTAACTGTAAATGGCTACGATATATTTGCTGTTCCCTCACCCATTTAGAGGCAAAAGCTATTTATGAGGCTTTATTAAGTGCGAATAATTCCCATGGCTTCAGCACGGCAGAATCAGCTGCAGAATATAGTCTGATTTGCATATAAATGACATGATTTCTGCTCAGACAAGGATATTGAAAAATATATTTCTACAGTGGAAACCTGATATTCACACATATTAAGGTCAGCTTGTATAACTTTTTTTAAGCTGCTGCATGTTGATACCTGATCACCCTTCCAGCTAGATTCAGGCTTTATCAATTGTACCCACTATGAAATTATGAATTTCTTCTTTGAGTTAATTAAGCTATAATTTATAGAAATAGATTTTAAAACATTTATCTCAACAATTTAAGCACTTAAAAGTGCTCGGAATATTTATCAGTACCAGTGGAAAAGTCCAAACTTGGCACTTTTCCTTATCTTCAGTACTGTGAATTTGTGATGTGAGAGAATTCTATTGTTTTGGTGAGACAGAAAAAGTCCTGCTAACTTGCTGTAGTCGCTTTAATAAATGGTAGGATATAACTAAAGTAGACATGGATGTTACTTTTACTGTCTCAAATAATTTCCTCAGGTTATCTTCTTAAGTTTATGCTTCTAAAATTTCTGCCTTGACATAGGCCACCACTGACAAACTGAGATGCTTGGCCAAAACAAAAAGCAAGTGTTTCAAAGCTAAATCTATATATGTTATAATCTGTATAATCTATTTTACCCCAGTTGTTCCAGCTCACTGCACAACAGAGATTGATTTGCCACAGTGAATTGTCATTAGTCTGAACGCCTCTTCAAGAGCTTGATACTGTCTAGTAAAGAAAAAGTGAAAGTAGTGCTATCTAGAAACTTGGATGTGCAGATCAGAACTTCCTTTTTTAGCAATTTCTTTCAGTTTGTAAGGCTGTTAATTTATCTGAATGAAAGTATGGCAGTACAGTTTATTACTAGGATCCTGATTTTTTTTTTCTGGTTGTGTTGTAATATTTTAGCTATTGGAGTTCCTGGGTGCAGGAATTAAACTTCTTTTTATCCCAGAGCTCCATTCTTGTGTCTTAAGTGTTATGCCTAGAGAAGATTTTTCTGTCTAGTTGGAAATTTTTTCTCAAAGAATAGTCACCCAGCAGCTGGATCATTACATTTTCAGTATCTCCTCAATTATGAAGATTTTAGGCTCTGAGGTCAGTTTGGTTTCTAAAAGATGTAAAAGGTGTAAAAGATGTAACAGATGTAAAAGGTGCATT